GGGCCGGTGTCGGGCTGGTTTGGTTTGGCTTAGTGGAAATGTGAATCCCATATATAAATCAAAATACCATGGTTGGTCCAAAACCAGGATTAGCATAATGAGTGAAGCAATACAGGGACACAATTTATTTAGAGCCTGATTTTCATTAACTCTGGTTTCCTGTTGTTAAATTGTAGATAGTTACAAATATTGGGCTTGGGCTTTATATATATTTACTGGAGCTGGCCAAAATATCAAGGAAAGCACTGAATTGCACATTTATACCTCCTCTATGTTACCGTATCAGAAATATTACAAACTCATGTCTCTACATAAATGGATACTTTGCATATGAATTCGTGCAATTATATATTGTTGTATAAAGAAACACATTTATAACTGTTTTAAGTTAAAATGGTAACTTTTAGGGGACTTGGCAGAACTTGTCCATCCAAAAAGCTTATAATATTTCTAAACAGGTTTTAAGCAGCAATCCCAAGAAACCAGCCATTTCCAATATGCTTCTACCAACAAAGGGAAATTGTAAAACTGAAATAGCAAGACGCTTCGTCCAAAACCACCACAACGGTCTCACATTGGAAAGATACAGAAGACAAGCTAATCATTCTACTCTAAGGAAAAAAGGGAAACGCGACTAACCGATATATTTATACACCAACGATAAACAGTGCAAAAAGCCAGCACGAAAAAATAAATATACAAGATAAAGATGAAAATCTTAAAAACGAAACGAAAAGACAGAGCCTCTGTTAACGACACAAAGCAAACACACAAACATGACCTCCAGCCAGCAAAGCAGGCAGGATCACGACATTTTCATCACTACCGAAGAGCCGGCTAAAGCAATTCTTCTCTTTCTGCCAACCCTGTTTTCTCCTTAATTAACAGCAACCTATCCTGAGACTTATATCACTTCAGTGGTGTGCACTCTGCTCCCCTAGGATTTGTGAAAAACGGGCTTTTCCCAGAGAGAAAAACGCTCCTCATCCTTTCGGCAGGCAGCCATTGCCGGAGGAAGCGAGACGATTTTACGACATCTCCCAGCATGCTGACAGCCTACAACTCCCATACTGCACATGCTCGCCGCCCTCGTTAACCCCTTTATTACCCACACGAACTTTCTGCCACCAAACTCCACAGCCCATTTTATCTCCTTTCTCCTTTCAGCTGAGTGCGGACAGCTGGCATGGGGAGATGCCTTAAAACCATTCACCTGCCGGAATGAAGCACGCACCGCCCCTGCCCCCCACACCGAGAACAGAACTTCCAAAGAAATCCCTGAGAATTTTAAGCAAAGAATAGAATATATACCATTCCTCACTAATAGCAATAGTAACAACAACAAAAACCATCAGTCAATTGCAAAAGGCAGCTTTACTTGGAGTAGCTTACATCCTGTGATGATACCTTTAACACCATCAAAAAACAAGATCTGCCTATCCCAGGTCCTTGGGAAGGACTCCATAGGTGGACAGAAATGCCAAATCCAGTCTAAACATCTGGCTGTGCAACCACCCCCACCATCAACAAGAACAATAATAAATCTGCAACTGCAGTCATCAGAAGTTTAATCTGAATGGTTTGTGCTTTTCTTGTTTTTCTGCAAGTCTTGAGAGTTTTTGTACATAATCACTACAATCCTTCTGTGCACCTTGGAGAAAAGAGATGGAATTCATACTCCTTAATTAAAACCTGGTCAACCTACAGTTCTTAAAATAGCCAACTCTCCTTTTCAGGTTCTGAATATTTTTATCCCCCAATATAGCAAAAATAAAGATTTAGAAAAACCGATAATTTCTTTGCCTTATAAATGGAGAGTATGTATCCCAAATATTAGTATGCTTTTACACTGTTTTTGAAAGACTTTGGAGACTGCAGAACTGGCAAACTAATTTTATAAATAGCAACAAACTAAAAACAAATGCAACCCTGAAACAGTATGTATTTTAAAAGAAACAGATTAGGCCATGAAACATGTCTTTAGAGAGGCCTTATCAATCTTAACTATAACCGGCATTTAATATTTTGAAAAATATATTTCTCCCTGATTTTTATTCAGTATATTTGAAGTAACAGCCAGAAATAACACTGCCCCTCCCCAAAACAACCATTCTAATTATTGTATTATAATTTGTGCTGCAATAGTCACTATCATATGGCTAGAGATTCTCTTGACTTTTAGCTGCCTAACAGTTCCCATAAAGTGATTGGTCAATCCTTTCTAAAACAAATTCAAATTTCTCAGAGCAATCTGTTCTTTGTACAACACTTAATTTTGTACAAGTAGGTGAAACATAGTCATTTACTGTCAATTTAGAACTGCTTTTTCTTCTATTTATCATTGATTTTAGGACATGAAAGCAAAGCAGAATAGGCCATTTCTTTTCCTTCCCTCCTTCCTTCCTTTCAACAAAGCTGGCCTATAAAGTGCTGTCATGCATCTTAATAAAGTTAATAAAACATTTTCATTATGTTTTCAATCTTAAAGCAGTTTTTTCAAGCTAATATGTAGTTCAGAAAAAAATCCAAATTCCTAGTCTTGTGACACTGTTAATATGTAATATAATCTCCAAAGCCAATGTGATTTTTTTTTTTTATCAATAACACCTGTACGCTTATTTACGACATTTTTTTCTGTACTATTTCTTTGGTTATATTTTATTCAGAAAGTTTCCACAGAAAAACCCAGTTTCAACAGCAAAGACTTCAACATTTCTATTTTAAAAAAACCCTTTCAACAGCTACAGATATATAGCATTTGGGGTTTTTTCTTCTTCTTTTAAACAGGAATCACAATATTTTCACTTGAATACATGGGTTGCAACCATGAAAAGGTCCACAGAACACAAGATGTGCTAATAAACCAGGAATATAGGTGACTTAGTTGTACCATATTCAATATATATCCATAAAACCTCTCTCTCTTGGATAGCTTTCTCATGTATTTTATATACTTATATTATCAGTATTAGTTACATGTATTTTATACTATTAGTAAAAAGGTTTTTTTTTAAAATCAGAGACTAAAATATCTTAACATTAGTATTTCAGTGTTATTCTTACTAATATAATGGTTTAAAATTAAAGGTTGGTAGAATAACAAAGTTTTAACACAGAATGCACACTCCTATTACATTTTTTCCAAAGTTTCATAAATAAGAGAGCAAAGATTTCATATAATTTTCCATGTGAATCAAAGGGGGAAAACATGTCATGTGCTTTAAAGTACAAACAATCTCATTGTCAAAATTGTTTAAAAATCGGTTAAAAATGAGAGTGAATATTTGATAAGTATACGGATAAGATTTCCTGACAATCTTTATTTTCAGCTAGAACTCTCTTTGTTTATTCAGTAAGATAATAGAAAGCATCAATTACACTTTCCAATATATTTTAGAATATGTATATTTTACAGGAACTGAAATAATAATTTTTGAACTATTTATAAACAGTGTATTATTTTTTAAAAATGCCTTGTTTCTGGCTTTAAAAGATTTTGGAACAATATGAACATGTAGGGCCTTCTGCTTAAGATTTATTTTCCTATTACAACTATACTATAAACATCAAATTCTATTAATCAGAATTTAATATTTTATATTTCTAGATAATCAGAATGGAATAAACAACCTATAAAATCAGCTGAGCTACTCAGGGGCAACAAAATATTCTATTCTTAAACTATTTCTTATCCCCCAGGGTTTAGTATGGCATAAAATAATCTGTAATATAAAACAAGTCAGGAATATTAAGTTTGTAATACAGCCATCTTTTATATAGGTTAAATTGTGTGCCTTCTATATTGTGAAATTAGCTTTTATGGAATAGCACTGCCATCAAACACAGCATATCAAAATCATCATTACATCATAACCAATTTTCAATCAATCTGTTTTTAAACGTAAGCTTTATTCAACTCCCTGGGAATTTTCTATACAGTACACAGATCCAATAGAAATGAATAAAAAGAGGCATTGCATACATTCATTTCATTAAAGGTTACATAGAAATATAACTGATAGTGCTCCTTATCAAAGTAGATATTTAAACATTTGTAACACATCTTCGCCTGTTAAGAATTATTGTTTATACTTCCTTTTTCAACAAACAATCTAAGATTACCTTCCACATTGTATTTTATGTTTGCATTCTGAAATAGATTTGACTTACATAAACACAGTTTGAGAATAGAGTGCTGAGTTGTTTTTCCTTAATATTAGACTGTTCACTTCATTGTGATACATATTTAATAATTTTATCATCCTTAACTAGTTTGAAAAATGCTGAAACGTTTTGCAAAAAATAAATAGATGCACATGGCTTAGTATCCTAAAAGCACCAAATTTAACATTATAAAGGTATCATACAACTATTATTTTTTCAAACCAAGAAAATATTTAAATAATAATAGAGTTTTATCTGTAATTTGCTTACATTTTATCCATCACAAAGCCTGAAATGATGATCTCCAATATCTTCTATAAATTGAAAGAAATATAACAATAAATTTGCCAGGTAATTAGATACAGTCCTGGAAACCTATACATGGTTAAAATATAATCAGGACTACAAAGGGTTTAGGAATGCTACTTCCAGGGGAAAAAAAATTGAAGCCACCAGATTGCTATATAGAAGATATTGGAAGAACGTGTTTAAAAAAAAAAAAAGTAAGTTTAATGACTCTTTTGAATCTATGTATCTGTGCAAGGCCATATGAAGACGGTTCATCAATTCAACCGATGCAAGCTTTTTTTTTAAATTATGCAGATTTCACCTTCCTCCATTTTTAAAAAAGTCCTTTATTAGTGAAGTGCATTTTGAAAACAAAAAGTCTACAGGATATTTTTTATGAAGCCGAAAAAGTCCTAATGGTTTTTGCTGAAAAA